GCTTCAAGCTGCCAAGGTGGAGAAAGACCCAGCTTCTTATCTTCATAAAAGCTAGGCTCAACTGCTGCTGCTGCTGCTTGCCAGATTTCCTCTGAGATACAGGTTGGAAAACACCTCTTCCTTTCCTTTCTGACGCTTATCAGCAGAGGACCAGAGCTGGGTGTAGCCCGTTCCTTGATAAAAGCGGCTAAGAAAATACAGTCTTGTGCAACGCAAGAGGAAGAAGGAAAAAGGGTTCTGTGGTTGGGAGGGAAAGGCTGAATTTGGCTTTTCTGGGTTGAAGTTCCAGATTACTGAGGGTTAGGGGTTCCAAGCTGAAGCCCACCTCAGTAGCCAGGTTCATGAACATTGCTCATTTACTACCAAACAGGCTTTAAAAAAAAAAAAAAGGAATTATTTATTTATTTTTATTTTATAAACATCATACGGCCGCCCATCTCACAAAAGTGACTCGGCGGCGTACAATAAAACCATAATGCTTTCTCATCGCTGAACCAGTCTTGTGGGCCAGATGTGCTTTAAACAGCACCTCTGGATCCCGTTGCCAAAGCAGTGGTGCAATTTGAGGGGGGCAAAATGGGTACATTGGCACAGCCTTTCATAGCCCATGTCTGTGTTAGTTCTTTTTATGACACACACTAGCACACATGCGTACACACATCCTGTGATTGAGTGATCTCACTGAGCTGACCTCCATGTTCCCCAAAAGACCTGTGTTACAAATTTCCGAGAACACAGATTTGAAATCTTTGCCTACCTGTTTACGGGCATGGCCCTGCTCTTCTGCGGGCATGTTGGAGGTACTTTTGAAGAGCGTCTTGGCAATAAGAAAGTAATAGATGGATATGATCACCAGTGGTAAGATGTAGAAGATCAAGAAGCAGACCAGGGAGTGGACCTCCTGCAGGACTCGTTCAGAGACAGGATAAGGTGCGCAGGTTTCGAGGGAGGTGTTCTTCTCGGGCACGTGGAAAGCATAGAGGTCAGACGATACGGCTTCTGGGGCAGCGAATAACATAGAGATGATCCATATGCAAGCAACTTTGCAGCAGGTCTTCAGGACAGCATCAGCCCCATGGAGCTCCAAGGGTTTCACAATCGCCTTGTACCTACCATCACAATTTGTGTCAGCTCTTGGAGGGCTAAATGCAATGAGCACAAAGCAGACAACAATGCAACAGGATGGTCTTGAACACAACTGGGCAACCTTCTGTTTGGGGAAGGAATTTGGGGGGTTTCTTTGTTTTTCAGACTATGGTGAGTCCATCTCAGGGTTAAGCAACAATATCTGTGTGTTTCTTACCCCAAAACGTGTAGGGAGAGAAAAGTACACCATAGGTTTTTGGTGGCTTTGGTCAGAGGGCCTCTGAAGTCTGCAAAAAGGGATTCTAATGACACCTCCGCCCCCCCAGCCCTGGGATATGGGTTATCTTCCCTGGGTCTAGACGTTCAACAGCTGCCTCTCTGACATGTTCTTAACTATTTTTGTGCAAATATACTTGTCCTCTGAACTGTCCAAGTCAGTAATAAACATTTGGCTTACAATTAGAAATAAATAAAATGTGACTTGTTTTCAGCTTAATAAACGCCAGTTGATTTGGTCTAGAAAATGAAAACTTGTATGAATCTTAGGCAACGGGCAGCAGAGGTTTTCTAGTTCTGGCATTTCATTTTGCATGTTTGTAAATTGCTTTTGCACACCACTAGGTAGCACCAAAATACAGCATAGATTCTTTTTTGCCTTTTAGGCAGTTTGTTTTTAAAATATATCATTATTATTTCTCTTGTTTGTTCATCTGTTTGTTGCACAGTGAATGATATTATTTTTAGACGCTAGCAGTGAATTTTAAAGAACTGGGATTCATTTCAAGGCTTCCTAATTCTCTTCCATTAGGGAAAAAAAATCTGCCACACTTGCTTTCCGTTATTTGGAAATCAAAGGGAACATTTTAAATATTGAAACAGCATGAAGGATAGGTGAATCTTTGACGGCAGCGATTCCGATCAACAAGAAAAGCAAATCTTCCAAATCATAGATACACTCACACAAACGCACTCTGCCACACATCAGAATCTGCACCTATTCCAGTTCAAAGGATGTCCCAGCTGTCAGCTGTTTGGGGACCAAGAGTGATCAGACAGAAACAAAGAGTGCAGTGCTGATGCTGTGAAAATATCTGGATGTGGCCATTTGACGGCCGAGCCTGCGGGCTAGCACAGTCCGATCTTGCCTGGGAAGTTTAATTCCTTACAACACCTCCATTCCTGATCAGTTCAATGCTCTAAACTCACCTGTCTGCGCTGAGGACTGTTAGGGTGAACACGGATACTCCGACCGAGGTTCGCTGAATAAAAGACAGGAGTTTGCAGCCGGTTCTTCCGAACAACCACGTATCCACGATGTAACAGGCAGCATCAACTGGCACACAGGTCAGCAGAAGGAGCAGATCCCCAAAAGCCAGGCTGGTAATGAAAATATTGGGGACCGTCTGCATTGATTTGATCTTGAAGAAGACTTTGACGAGGATGACGTTCCCTAGAAGACCCATTGAAATTATTGTGGCGTAGGCCGCGTAAATGGTGCAGAGCGTCCCCAAACTAAGTGAGGCATCTTCGGACCAGCTTTCCTGACCTGTTTGGTTCCCTGTTGAGGATGCCAGCTGTTCTGTTGCATTGACACATTCGTATAAATCAGCATTTCTCACCAGCAGTGATGCCCCAGACATTTTGAAGACTCAGAGTGGAATTAAATTGATTGGAAACGTTTAAAACTCACCCCATATCATGTCATGTCCGTGCAAAAGTGAGAAAGAGAGAGGGGGGTCCAAGCAATTCACGGGAAAATCAATTCTACAGGACATTCAACTCCTTTCATCTTGCTGTGTAGTCACCAAGCATGATAGAGACAAATATGCATAGATTTCACTGCTGAACTGTGTGGGAGGTGAAGAAGCTGGTTGGGGTTTTTTTCTCTCCTTTTTCTCTCTTTTTCCTTCCCCCCCCCCTTTTTTTGAATACGCTTCAGAGCTACTGTGGGTGAAAGTGGAAAAGAAGAGATAGAAAGTAAATTCAGATTTGCAAAATGTGAAAAGAGACATCAGATTAGTGTTTCTTTTTATCCTGGCATGCTATTCTGTCAACAGCCCTTTACGTTTTTGATTATATCCAGGTTTCTTCTTGACTGTTTGTTTGTTTATTTATTTATTTGCAAACCGAATTGACAAGAGTAGGAATTCTGCCTATCGAATAACTGGAATTTAAAAGAGGAAAAAGATGAATAGTCTGTCACAAACTAGAGATGACAGGGTTCTTTGAGAAGTAGAAAAGAGGGGCGTTGTTTATCTCTGATTTTTAAGACAGTTTTCACAAACTTTGCCTGTGCACGGCCCAGGGTTGCTTCCAATTTACCTGTACGGTTGGTCAATATTCTACTGAGGTCTGGGGGCTCAGAATAATTTCCCTGGTGTTACCTAAAGAGCGTTTGCCTCAGATGAGATCTGAACTGATTACTGCAACTTGTTGAAGTCCTCACCTCTTAAAGTTGCTGAGGTTGAGAAACACTGCATCAACCCATGATTTGTTTGATTTAGGCTGCCCAGGATTGAATTTAGCCAACGGATATATAATCCGTGGCTTACCACTGTGGGTAATGCAGAGCCCAGGACAGGAATGAATGAGTGGAAGCTTTACAGAGGGAGATCCAAATTCAGAATAAGGAAGAACTTCCTGACCATGAGAGCGGGTGGAAGCGCTTGCCCTCTGAAGTCATGGGGGCTCCATCACGGGAGGTTTTCAAGCCAAGGTTGGACCACCCGTGGTTTGGCACAGTCTGAGGGTTTCTGCCCTGCAAAAGAGCAGCTTTTGTCTGAGAGCATCTTTGTTGGCCAAAAGGCTTCTGGGTCTTCAGGTACCCCGGTGTCCTTCTCGGAAGGTGACCCCATTATAGAGGAGTCGGCTCAGTTGTGTCCAGAGGAAAGGAGCCATCTCGGAGGATTAAAAGGGACAGCAAAGGACAAAACCTCCTGTCCCTCCTCACCAGGGCAGCCATTTTGTGAGGGCGCCCACGGCATGCTATAGATGTTCAATCCCTGGATCGTTGCCATAGAAGAAGATCGTAGTTGTTGTTCACCCACCTTTGGGGGAAAAGGCTGCCTTGCTGATCCTCACCGTGGCGCAGCCAGTTCCCACCACTGTTCTGCAAAGATAAAGCAATCATCCTGCTACACAAGGCAGAAGGCTTACATGCCAAAGGAAGCCCATAAATCTCAAGCTATCTTCTCTTCATGCCCCCCAGAAAAAGAGTACTTTTTAAAAAAGCTTTTTCTTTTTTCTTTTTTGAGCTACAGGAAAATCATCCCCAGCTTTTACAAATGAAGAATGATGCGAACTGATTACAAACCCTTTACCCAGCGATTTAGGCCCCCCCCTCCCATAATCATCAGAATATGCCACGTTGTGTTTCTGGTCTGTTCGGATTTCAGGAGCCTTTTAAAAGTGCGCGACTGCAGGTTGTGGGGTCGCTTGTAAAAGGCTGTTAGTCATTCAGATCTGCTTCCAGGGGGCGGGCAATCCTTCTCCAGCAGATATTAATATTCACAAGGCTTGAGTCACTCTGATTAAAAAAGACAGTGCAAATGACATTTGCATTTTGAAAAGGTGAATTAAATACGGGGCTGCCTCATTATTCCCCCCTTTTAGAGCTGCTAGGGAAGCGTTCAGAGCAGAAAGAAAAAAGAATGGTGTATGTCGGGGGGGGGTGGATGTATAGATCCCCATTCCAACATCCCAGAATAAGCCAGAGGCATTATCAATACAACCATTATGCTCCTTTCATCTTTGGTACAAAACAACCTTCTCAACAGAGCCTCATTTCTCCCAGTGATTATGACACAGAATCTTTTGCCTCTCACTTTATTCTAAGTGGTAAGCAGGGCATTTAAAGAGTTCAGTGCGCCTCCAGATTCATGCATCCTTGTCATAAAAACAAAAACAATCTCCAGAGCCCCCCCAAAGTTAAATATACGCTCCTTTCCGGCTTCTAGATGTCTGTCGGTCTTTGAAGCTGCTGCACAGGGAGGTTCAAAGTGATCGTTCCACATTCTCCTTCTCTTCTCCCTGCACCTTCTGCAGGGAGGTGCTTTGCATGATTTACGCCTTCTAATAAAATTACAGGCCTTCAGTCCAAATGACAATTTGAACAATGCAGCATTTGAAAGATACAGGATACAACCTTGAAGTTGTGCAGTGAAAGAACAAAGGTGCTATCTGGCAGGAGGTGGGAAATAGGACCGGTGCAACGCTCTTCTCTCAAATAATTAGCATTCTGCATTGGGCATAAACAAACAGGCTTGTCTTGTTTCTGCTCTGTTTTCTTGCTTCTAACTGGTTTTAAAAACATCATTCCACCTGCACCTCTTCCAGGCTGGTGCTTCTGTGTTAAATAGCTGAAAAAAACAAGGTCAACATCTGTTGAAGAAGAAGTACCAGTTTTGTGCCCTGATAAGGCGAAGGTGAACTTTTTTGGTGTAAACCACAGGAAAATATCTGCTGCTTCTAGCTGTTTTGAGCTAGAACTCCACAAATTCTTCTCACTGGCCATGCTGAATAGACTTGATGGGAACTGTAGTTCAAAATCTCTGGGCAACATCTGGTTTTTCTTCAGGCACAGACTCACTCTTGGTTTTGTCCACTTCTTTTCTTGTTTTTCCATTTTATTCCAATCCATTTCTTTCATAGTTGCCCTTTGACTAAATTAGTCCATAGCTTCCAGTTTTCATTTCCAAGCGCACTCAAGTGATCTCGCCCTCTAAGGTTGACTTCACACTACGTGCTAAGCCATTGTTTGTTTAGCCATAAATAAACTACAGTTGGCTGGATGCTCAGAACACACTAAGCCACAAACAAGCAAATCACCTTGTGGCTTATTGTATGTTATGAAAGCCCAATTGAAAAATAATATGTCCCTCCACCCATTATGCTGAAGCTGGTCTTACACAAACATCCCCCCACAACGTTTGCAGCCAGAAATCTGGCAACTGGTCTTCTGTCCTGCATATTCTCCAATGTAAATTGATTTCCTTCTTCAATGGCCCAGGACCCACCTATGGGAGGGGGGAAAGGGCCTTGTCAGCTATGGTGCCCTAACACTAGAATCCCCTCCCTAAAAAAAAAAAAAACCCCTAATCTTATGCTGAACTGGTCACTTGTGTGACAAGCATTTACCCAGGGTCTCTGGCACCAAGCGATGGAAAAAGATAGCCCCCCCCCCTTCTCAGCACAGGGTTCACAATGACATTCCTTAACCCCCAGCCTGTTGCAGTTGCTCTTCCTTTAAACTCTTCAGCCCCTGGATAGCCTCACCACACTCTTCCTCCACTTGAACTTCTTTGGCCTATGTTGAGGGCCAGCATAACTTCCCTTGCTAAAAGAGACCTGGTACCACTCTGCCACCCAGGTTGAAGGATCATCGGAGGCAAGTGGGTGCTTGAGAGATTGAATCTCATGGAATTCTGGAATTGGGGATGGACACTGAGGCCATCTTGACCACCCCTTGCTCAGTGCAGGAATGCAAATGAAAGCATCCCCAATCCTCTTCAGCCTTTGCTCGAACCCATTCAGCAGAGAGCCCACCGTCTCTCTAGATCAGCGTTTCTCAACCTTGACAATTTTAAGATCTGTGGACTTCAATTCCCTGGATTCCCCCAGCTGGCTGGGGGAATTCTGGGAATTGAAGTCCACAGATCTTAAAGTTGCCAAGGTTGAGAAACACTGCTCTAGACCATTGGTGCCACTGTTAAATTACTGTCCAAATATTTATGTTATGTTGCTGGATTTTGACTGTTCAGCAATCAGTCAATCAATTCTAAGTCCATTATTCCACGTCCTATGCCCTAGGTCAACAAAATCAATGGAGAACAAGACACGGGCCTCCTGAGTGACATCCCTTCTGGTATCTGAAGAAGACTGGCATCATATTCTTCTGCCATCTTCTCTCAAGGCTCAGCCTACCCAGGTCCTTCTGTCTCTTTTTCCAGTCCTCTGATCAACCTAACCGTCTTAAAACATGAAGTTCCAGTAGCATTTTAAGGAAAGGTGCCTGCTGAATATTCCTCCCCAGCCCCTTCCTCCTCCCCCTCCCCACACGTCTCTCACTGCTGCGTAGGAGTCTCTTGATGGAAGATATGCAAGCTTTTGTATTCTGCTTCATCAGGCAAGGGGGCTACAGAAGCGGCCTTCTTTTACAACCCAAGCACATTGTGGTCAACTTTGGAGACACTGAATTTGAGATGGCCCAGAGGAGGGCCCAGTTTTCCAGCCATGATTTTCCATTACATTTGCCTATGTACATTTTGCTCCCCATATTTTGCAACCTTGAAGGCAAAGCAGAATCCAGGATATTGATCCTTTCCTCCAGGACTCAAATAAATTCCTGTTGGTTATATAAATTCTAATCCAGGCTGCAGCTTTCAGGAGCTTTTTAACTAAGTTCAGCAAGACCCTGCAGGTGGCCGGGGTCATGCACAATTCAGAATAGGAGCTGCTTGGAAATACAAGCTATGTAGAGAAACAGAGACTTGAAGAGGTAATTCCAACAGTAGTCCAAACACTAGATTAAAGAAAAACATACATTTGGGAGGGTCACACCTGACACAACCTTGGGAGCCCTGTGCCAAATAATGCATCTTAAGCTTGGTTTCTTCAGAAGAAATCTAGTGAGGCTTAAAGGAGCCATGCCTTATTCTTACAGTATGAAAAGGGGTAGAAGGTTGGTGTTGTGGGCTACAATAAACTACAGCAGTCTGTGACAGCATAAGAAGAGCCAAAAACATCAACTTCTCCAGCAGAGTTTCAACCTCAATTCCAACTTTTTCTCATTTCTGACAAGCCAGGAAAAGTGAAGGGAAGGTTACTGAATCACAGGTGGCTTACAGGTCATGCAGAAGTGGGGGCCAAGTACTTGCATACCCAAATGTTAGGCTTTTATCCCCACTGTGGATCTTTTTATCTAACTGCATCACTTCCATTTAATTATTTGGAAAAGACTGATGGCTGAATTTTGAGTGAAAATTTCTTTTTTGAAGCTGTGAGAGTAAGCTTCCAGAAAGTCAACCAAAGCTAAGATTCCCCTTTAAGACAAAACTTTATTTTTCTGTGTGTGGTGTAGTTCAACATCTCCTGGTGATATTCTTCTCACACGAGGAAGTTTGACTGCCTGAAAAGTTGAGGACATATGGCTGACGCTGCAGCAAACAATGTGATCTAAAATATAAATAGATGGGAATACTTTTTAGCCACTGGATATACTTGCCCCTAAAAAATAGCAGAGTATCAATTTGGAAACTTAGCACTTCAAGAAAGAAAAGTCCAAGAGATAATCCTCTCTAGAATATACTATCGACTCTGTAAAAAGGGTTCCTTTTATAATCTTTGGGGAATATACATTGACAATCCCCTATAATCTGAATGGTACCGCCTCAAAATGGCTCTCCTGTCTATGTGACCTTACTGAATGGCTGCATTCACCCAACATGCTGAATCTGATTACAAAAATAACCTGTATTCACTCAGTTTGCACAAGAGGCCAACCACCATCTTCTAAGACTACATTGTCTCAGCTTAGTATGTTGTATGAAGGCATCTGTGAAATCTTGCTATGGTCTGGTTGAGCTTGTTGCACGATCATAGTCATGGTTGACTCAGCTCTTGAAGAAGGGCTGTTGCTCCATTTTAAAGTGTCTTAGACTTGGACCACAAATGGAGCAAAAGAGTGGCACATACCACTTCTGGCTGCAAAGGAGATGCTTTCAATGCTTAATCCTCCGGTAAAAACTCTCTGCTGGCTGAGAAATCAGCTCCATTGTGCTGGTTTTCTACTAGCTAAGGGAGATCATTCTTCACAGAAGAGAAACAGACAAAAATGCTTTTAGGATACTTTTGCATGAGTACCCAAAGCCTTTATTCCCCAAAATATCCCTTGTTCCTTCTCACCAGTTTCAACCCCAACATCTGGACTTGCTTCTGGTAAGCTTTCAGAGCCGTTGGACGTAGAGCCCGTTGTGCATGACTTGAATGATTTCAAAGAATGACATGACTGTTCCCGCTCAAAGGTTTGAGGGTGACAGCCCAGCATTGTGGTTGAGCTGGTCCAGTCTGAAATCAGATGGAGGAATTGAGGGAAACCGATGTATAATCTGGCACAGAAGCAGAAAGTCTGCTTTCTGCAACAGAATCATTTACAGCATGCTGAGTCATTGCTCCTGAACCATGCCTCACTCTAAGGAGGGCAACAATCACATACTTGCAGGTGCCTTGGCGGGTAAGACCAACCCATGCAAGTTCGTGTGAATCCATCAGGTCAAGGAAGGGAGCGCAACATGAGAACAGAAAGAAACAACGGGTGCCTTACAAAAATTGCTGAGCCGAAACTTCCCACAACAGAAGTGAACTTGGCATTGCTTCCTCACATTTTCCTTCATGAGGCAGTAGAAAACGAAGATGAAGAACCCTAAAGAAAAGAAAGTAGCATTTGTGTTCTTTGGATTCTACACTCCCTCCTCACCAAGATTTTCATAAATTAGAGGAAGAGTGTAGGTGGTAGATGAGTTGTGGAAAGCATCAAAGCCTCCCACGGAAACTAACAAAGCATGGACAAAACCGGAAGTATTCTTGTTCCTCAACTGACATCACAAAATGTTCGACCACACCACAGGGAACTGAAGAGGCCAGGCAAGGATCTGATCCCAAGAAATGTATAATTTTAAAAGGAGTCAGTGAGAAATCTGATGAAGTGGTGGGACAGAGAAGAAAGGGGAGGAAAAGGAGAGCAGACACAAATCCTAGCTTGGTTACAATTGGAAAGATTTAATGGGAGCACCTGGAAATCGAATCTCCTACATCCAAAGCAGCTGCTCTACTATCTCATGGCCTGAGTATTGTCTCCCTGGACCTTCCTCAATCTGTCACCTTGAAGATGTTTTGGAATCACTCTCCCATCATCCCCATTGTGTCTTAGGGAGACGGACCTTTATTTCAACTGAACTGAAGGAGCACCAGGTCTTTTAGTTGGAAATACCAAGGATCACAACTAAACCATGTGGTCTCCTTGTGCTATGGTCCCTCTCCCATAGCCAGTCTACCCTGTCATGAGATACTTACCTTGCAAGGAGTTGCAGATGGCAAAGATGTACATGCAAACAGTCTTCATGGGGCCCCATGCAAAGAAAGCAAAACCCCACGTCAAGCCCAGCAAGAATGTCAAGCTGGTCACCCTCTTCAAGTCAAGGAGGAACTCTTGGCTCCAGTTCTTCCCTGGCCTGGGGCTGTTGGCTTTCATAACACGGATTTGCCAAAGGACAGTAACAAACATGCTGACGTTGATCAGGAACACCAGGATGAAATAGCCAACCACAGAGATGTAAAATACCCAGTTGTCCTGAATCCAGCAACTGGAGAAAGACAAGGGAAGGTGTGTGGGGAACACAGTACTGCAACACCAGTTGGCTAGACTCGTTTCCTCTTCTTCCAATAGCCTAAGTGGCTTGGTTGACATTTGGGTAATGTGAACCAGTAGCTGGAGACTGGTGATTTCTCTCTTTTCAGGGCTTTCAAGGAGATACCCATTCAAAGTTAGAGAAGGGGGTCTCCCAACAGCTAAGAAGGGAATGGGGGAAAATGCATGTATGTGTCACTGACAAGAATAGGTAGTTTAGTAGGAAGTAAATTGAGAATTTTTAACTGGGTACTAGAGCTTTCCTAACAATAAAACTAGAAAATGGCATTAGAAACCAAAAGTGACCAAATGGAACAATGCAACTGGAGAAGTGATGGCCCTCCAAATGCTGCCAAACTATTTAGTTTATTTATTATTAAATGTATACCCTGCCTTTCTGTTTATATAAGTGCTCAAGGTAGCTTCGACAAATAGGAACAGTAAAACGGTAAAAGCAGTATCTTGCATGGATGAATGGATGGATGGATTTGATTTGATTTGATTCATATCCACCTTTCATTCACAAGCTTGTGCATGTTACATAATGCTTCCTCCTCCTATTTTTCCCCACAACAAAAGTCCTACAGAGGAAGTTGGGCTGAGAGGGAACAACTGACCCAAAGTCACCCAGTGAGCTTCTGTGATTGAAGATAGACTAGAATCTGGGTTTTCCTGCTCCTAGCCCAATACCTTTACCACAACAGCACACTAAACTAGGCATGCAAGCAATTTAGGAGCCAAAGATGCAATAGGTTTCTTCAGTTTAATTTCTCTTCTGCTGTTATTTCAAGTAAAAATATTCAAAAGAAGAGACTTACAACAGCATTGATGGGCCATCAACACTTCTCAAAGCAAATTCAGTCCCATAGAAATCTTTGTTGATAGTGAGGACAACAATAACAATAACTGCTGGAATTCCTAAGGACCCCAAGAAAACAAAGACTGCATTAACCTAAAAGGAGAAACACATGCAGAAGTTAATTCAGTCCTAACTGGGGAAAAGAAATGAAGTAGGGAAGCCCCAGTTAACAGGGAAGGGAAATAATAGGTGAGCAAAGGAGGAATTTGCTTTACTAACATCCATGTAAGAAAATCCATTAAGAGCAATTGTGAAGCTTAAGAATTAATTTCAGTGATTTCATACTGAAATTAAAGCATCCATATGATCATTCTCCCATCAAGTATGAAATCGTTTCTTCCTCTGTCACATTAGAAATGACATTTTAACAATAATGTCTGTAGGGCATCACCCTATGTTTGGGGCCACCTTTACCCCAGATTTAAACTGAACACAACATATCTAGAAGTCTTCTAGAAGACAAGCTCTTTTCTTCTTCTTTTGACGTCTCCATAGATGCCGTTGTGGAGTAAGGGGGCTGAAGGGCACCATTTTACCCTTCAACAGCCCCCCAACTCTCCACAACTGCAAAAAAAAAAATGAAAATGAAAATATTGGTCCTATTTGCTTCAGGGCTCTTGGTTCAGGGCTTACAGCACCAATTTTACCCTTTAAAACTCTCAACTCCTTCCACAAGGGATTGTGGCCCTACCCACGCTGGAGCATGCCCTCCACATGCCACACAGTGCCTGGCCCAGACATTGAGCCCAGAGGAGTTATGCCTCTCTGCTCCCCACCCCATAATTCAGGAAGCCAACCAAACGCCCCAATGGGGAGATTGCAAGCAAAATGACAAGGCACCATTCATTCCCTCCCGTTGCTTGATGGCAATTGGTATCCAGAGATAGGTTGCATCTCCATCTGATGGTACCATAGATCATTTATTTGGAGGCATCAATGCCTCTCACATGCCCATGCCGAAAGGCACATATGGCACACGTCTCTTAAAAATGTAAACCACGCTGCAGTTTTGAAGCGTGCGCGATCAGGTACCCCGGCACAGGTGTACGAACTGGGTCTGCTCATATAAAAATCAAACCACCAACACTCACCCCAGCCAGCGATGGCAAACCTGAGCATGTAATGTGGAATGTAGGTGTTGAGCACTCTTACAAGGGCATAATACATGTTGATGGCCTCCAGACCCATCCAGGTGAAGGCAGACAGCAAGAAGTAATGCAAGGCCGCAGCAGCTGTGATGCACAGGCCGTGCTTCTGAAACGCGGCTAGCCAGGAGTTCAGCAAGAACACAAGGTTGAGCACAAGCAAAGCAAAAGAAACGTTGATGAGGATTTTGGAAGGGTGATCCTCGCGAACTTTGCTGGAACGAAAAGGAAAAAAGACATTCACTTCCTGCCCCTGCCCCACAGATCTCATTTCTTGCATATACACCATTATTTGATTTCCTTGATTCACACTCTGTGGGGGTGAATAACGTTTCTATGACTGGGCTGCAGGCAGCTCCAGGGACTTGGGATCAGGATGATGGTGGCCTGCAGGTGAAATCTGGCCTACAAAACAGTTATAGCTGAGCCCCCACACTACATGCATGGACCAGTCCACCAACAGCCTGCCGTTCATCCTTGGCCGCTGCCTCCGAGCATTTGTTGATTGCTCAATGGTATGGCTGGCCCTTTTTGTTTCCAAAAAGTGACCGTGTCCCAACATTCTCCAGGAAGTGCATTCCACAGCAAAGAGCAGCCAGAAGAAGATGAAAACGAGCTTTTGTTAGGATCCAAAAGGCTGGGGGGTATGCTTGGGCCACCTCTCAGTGCCATGGCCAGCCTAAGAGCTTCTGCTCCCTGAGATGACAGGAAAAATAGTGCTTCCATCACCCACCACTCATTGCACATCCAGAAGTTGAGCAGAACTTTATTGCATATTGGAGTGATAGGACCTCCCAACTCAACCAATGCAAATGTTGGTTGAACTTACCTCAGAAATAATTATGTGACAGCATCTTAGCTTATGGATGCAAAGCAGGTGGTGAAACACCTCTTACTCTATCCTCTGGTGCCCACTGATGTCCTCCAGCACTGCTTTACTTTGCTTAATAGTCAAGCTAACCCTGCTGATCACTGTTTTATTTTCAAAAGAAGGGGAGCATTCTGATGTCTGTCTGTCTGTCTGTCTGTCTGTCTGTCTGTCTGTCTGTCTGTCTGTCTGTCTGTCTATCTATCTATCTATCTATCTATCTATCTATCTATCTATCTATCTATAAATGATTAATGTAATATGTAGTTTGGCCCTATAAGATTTGCAGGAACTTTGGTACAAAGTGGTAGAACTAGGGATTGAAACAAAATCTAAATAAATTTTGGTGAGTCCAGAAAATAACAGAGGACAGACAACTCTACTCACTCAATGGAGAGATACACCAACAGTGCCAAGCCCAGGAAAATAGAGGAGATGCCACATCCCACATAAGTCACCAATGTTAAAACCCACTCATCAGCATCACTGAGTGGTGTTCGAGATAAGTCCTAAAAATACATAAGAAAAAGAGTCCATGCAATCTTCCCCATCTGGTGCCATCCAGATGTTCTGGATGACAATTCCCATTATTCCTAATTAGCGTCACCTTCACCCCAAAGGAGGAAGCTCTGTCAGTGTTACCCTCTCCCAGCGCTGCTTCTACTGGTTTTATCTCCTGCTTTGGCACTGGAGGAATTTTAGAAAAATAGGATGTCTCTGCAGTTTAGAGGAAATTGACTGTATATACGCACTCTGTTTTCCCCGCTGTAACTAGGGCAAGAAGCCCTGGCAAAGACTGAAAATAACTTACCAGCAAAACTCCAAAATGGGTCAGATGATTACAGCTGCAGATCGTGTAAATCCTATCTGTATGTTTTATTTCACACCCTGAGGTATTCCAGCCACCCAGGCCATCTGCACAGCATAGAAATGAAATATTTCACCCGTGGTTAATGGTTCCTGACTGCCATTTATAGCTGTTCCCTGACTTCACATGCGTCTTGAGGGGTGGAGGGAGCGTGAATAGAGATACACCCTGACGTGTAGCCGCACACCTGAGAGGGGTCCAAGGGAGGAAATTAAATATTTTATGCTCCCGTTGGGCATTTCTCCAGATTGCCCATGTGGATCAGTGTCACTAAACTTATGGGACGAAAGGATATTAAAATGATTTAGTTTAACCACAACATATAATTCTCTACGATCAGCTTTCTGCCAACCAGGGGAATTGCCCAGGAATTTTAAGATAAAATTTGCATATCTGAGGCCATCCAAAAGGTTGCTTTGAATTCAGTCTGTTTCTCCCTCCTGGCATTCATTTTTTTGAATTACCCCAGCTCTTTTGACAAACTTGGGATCAAAAGGGATGGAACAGAGCAAAAGAACTGAGAGCGAGGAAGACACATTAAGCTTTTTGGGGATCTGAAAGCTGGAGCGGGCAGGCTAAGGATGAAAAATAGGTAGGACCAACCAGGATTTTTCATCCGGGGTTTTGGGAGTGAAGTTCTATGTGATTTCCCCCTTTAAAATAGATTTTAGGAGTGAGGATTGAGATGGCCGTTTTCATGTCAAGATGGTAGGAAAACAGAGAGCCAGTTTTGGGCAACTGTCCACCCTGAATTCCCCCCCAAGGTAAGAGAGGACGTAAGTACCAAAGAAGAAGATGGGGGGCCACTGTCCATTTGCAAAGGACGGTATTCACTCAGAGGTTTGGAGCGACGTGCGGATGGAAGGAATGACCCCAAAAGGTGTGGGCTCCCCTTTGTGGACAGCTCTTTATTGGGGTGGCTTAATTTAGATTATGACCTCTCTTATGGTTCCTTTCATCTCTCTCTCTCAGCACACACACAAACACTCGAACACACACACTGGAACTTGCCAACCTTTCACTTTTTTTTTCAGAGTTCAAACACTCTGTTGCAGCATAGTTTAAGAACAGGAGGTGGGCCTAATTGCAACCAAGGATCCAGATGCCCACCTCCCCCACCCCACAATTTAAAATATTGGCCCTGGCAGAGGAGGGTGCATTTGCACTTGATTTCAGAAAAAACTGTGTTCTAACACTGGCCAAATTACCAATTTCCTGTTGGTGATAGAAGCAAATGAGCTTCAAAGCTCCCTCTGCTGTCTGGGTTTTGAGCCATCATTTCTGCTGGGAGTGGGACCTGATATGTTACAGGAGTGTTTCTCAACCTTGGCCCCTGGAAGATGGGTGGACTTCAACTCCCAGAATTCCCCAGCCAGCATGGAATTCTGTGAGTTGAAGTCCACCCATCTTCCAGGGGCCAAGGTTGAGAAACACTGCGTTAGATGAATTTCTCCTGTCTGTGCAAAAGTTCCCTGCAAACTAGCAGATTCACTAGCTGATATCTCCAGAAAAAAATATTTCAGGTAGTATGGTTGGGAAAGAGTGAAATGGCTTCTTCCAGCATGAAGGCGTTGCCCTACATCTCTCAAAATTTCATCTTTGGATTCTTCAGTACTCACCATTCCTACTGAAGTCCCAAAACACACAGTGCACAGTAGCATTGTCCTAGTAATAAAAAAGAGAAAGAAAATGGCTTAAGCAATGGAAGTTCTAGATGGGAAATGACTCCCACGTATGGCCATACCAGTCGCAACCTTTGATGGACCATCTGTTCACTCAAGGCAAGAGTTGCTCCTTAGGCTATCACTAGCAGAAATGAGCAGGATTTTCTCAGCTGCGGCATACCGGTTGGGCAACTCAGTGCCCTCTCAATATTGTTGGATTCCCCCCACTATTGATATTCAGAGCCTGGGTAAAAAAAAATGGTGATATCTGCATGCATTAGGTTAGGTTATTAAAAATATAGGCCACCTGACTCATTGCATTAAGACTTTGACTTAAGTAATGGCTGGACAGTTGTTTTCCCTTTCTAGGCAAACACTGTTACTTGATCTGCTAATTGAGTCTTAAAATTGTAATCAAACAATTATGTTACCTACATCATCTTATTTTGCTGAAGCCCTGTGAGGAAATGTTGTTCCTCTTTCGTTTAGTGCTACGAGTGGGTTCTCATTGACAGGATGATAGGCAGAGTGAAAATTTAGCTTAATAAATCCATAACCATGCCAAGCGAGCTGCATCCTTTCCTCTTTCCATTCTTCTAACTCCACCAAGATCTAGGATCTCCAACACAGCCTCTTTCTTTGATTAAATGAAGGCTCTCCGGACATCTCTAGGCACCTCTTACTCCACAGCCTTCTTGAATCAGCCATAGAGGAAAGGGCCAGCTATGCAGTGCCTTTCAGTGCTGTGAAAATAACCCAGATGCATTTGGCAACGTGATACCATACCACATGCGGGCTTCTGTGGTGCAGAACTATGCTGAGTGGTTCCTTGAGGCCTTGAACGGACTTGTTTTCAATGCTGGCACCCACAACATAGGTGTTCAGAAGTTTGTTCTTCAAACTGTTGTCCTGAAAGAAAAACACAGATCTTTTTTCCCCTCTCTCTCTCCCACCCATCCCTCAGGACCATCTATCACCACTTGCCACCAGAATGAGGGAGTCATAAATTAAACCTTGGGGTTCAGGTGCTCCTCTCATCCTTCACATCAGTTCCTAAGGTTCCTTCTTCTCTTGAGAATATTCTTCTTTCTCTTGCAACTATACTGAGAATTCTTCTCGGCCTACTTACCTCAAACAATGACGGTGCACCAAAGAAGGTAAATTGAATCCCCATGAAAACTTCTCCCTCAAAAGATTGGGGCCCTAAGTAGTTTTTCAATATTCTTGGCAAATATATCGAGGCCTGGACATCTGTGAAAGGTGTTGCATGGATACTGAGCTGTATGGAAAAAGATCTAGAGTTGATTTCGTTTAAAAGCACAGTCCTCAGCCAGAAATATTTGGAATTGTGAAAACATGTGGGCATTCCTGAAAAACAGCTGTATGGGAGAAAGGTGCACCAGACACATGGCTATGTGTGGGTAGGACAGATCACACACACACAAAAAAATCCACTAGAAGGCAAACTGATACGGTCTGCCCTCCTACCCACTTTTTTCCTCCAGGATGCCCCCCATCTCCCCCAAAACACTCGGCTGGAGCACTAAAATCCAGAGGGTGAAACCAGCACCCTTTTATCTCAGCAAATGATACTAATTCAGGAAGTACCTGGGTGTGGCAGAAACAGGTGATCAGATGTGGGGAGAAACACAGCATGTAAAAAGTGACTCACCTGTGGGTTTGTCTCCAGGGTGTAGGATACAATCCCAAAAGCAACTCCTTGGAAGTTCATGGGATCTGGGCGTAGTACAGCCAAAGCCAGCCTGGGTAAGACAATGGATTCGTTTCTCCCACTGAAGTCCATCTTGAAACCAATTTGTTCCGTGAGCCTTAAGATTCTAGAGAAAGCAAACAAGGGCACAGAAACGTCATGCTGTGGATGTCGCCAAAGGTCCTCAGCTGGTGTTCTGTAATGGCTAAACAGGAGAATTTGAGAAGCTCAGAGACAGGTGATCAACCTCTTCCACCGTTGCTCCTCAAGAGAGGGCTTTTCCGGGATTCAGATGGCAGCAGACAGCCACCAAGGTCGGTAGCCACCAGCAACCCCATCTTTCCTGAAGTGGTCAAGTTCTCTTCTTAAACCATCTAAACTAGGCCCATCATAACGGGCAGCAAATTCCGTAGGGCCACATGGCTGCGTTCTCACTTGGAACTGGGAAGGTGGTGAGAAAGTCACCACAGGAGGAATTGCATAAGGATGCACCGGCATTCAAGGCCCAGCAAGCTGTGCTCATGCTAACATTATTGTTGCATATATTCTGCCTCCAGACGCCCCATTTTTCACACCACATCTGCTACCCAAAATCACACTAAAAAGTGTCACAGTGGCAAACAAAAACGTTTGTCTGAAACTGGGCCTATCCATCATCTTCAGATGTTTCGTTTTGACTTGTAGTAAAAAGCATTTCTTATTTGCTGCTCGGGCAGAAAGCATATTCTCCACACTTCTGGGTGTGCAAAGGCATACCTGGCCAAAAAAAAGAAAATTGCTAAAGATCTGAGTGAGGAGAAGCAAAAATTGGATCCTTTTTCTTTCAAACCCTAGAATTCCCTTTTCTTGGAAAAGGTGTCAGTTCGCTACCAAAAGGCTGCAGACAGGATTCTGGGCAAGTTGGAAATCTAGTAGGAGGCACAAAATTTCTAGAATCACGACACAGTCTAACTTTTTTTCTCTGGCAAGCTTACAGTCTATTCTAAGCAGGCTGTTCATCCCTCTTTGGGTTCTCATGTTTTTAAAAATATAGAAAGGAGGCCAAACTTTTGCCTTGTCCTCCAAAGTCTGTGGAAAAGTTATGGACGCTAATCCCAGATGAATGCTCCAGTTCCAGACTGTTTTACACAAGCATTTTGAAACTGGATCCTCAATTCACAAATAAGGCAATACAAATTGCTCCAATGCCCCCAGAATATCCCTTGGGGGTCATTACCCCTAGTTTTAAGAACCACAGATCAAAGCCAAAATACTTCTTTGGTCCTCAAATGCCAATATTTGATCAAGATGTGCTAAAGATTCCCTTCCTTCTATGGTCTCGTGTCTAGGAAAGAACAGATTGGCTTTGAAATTTTGACAGGCTGGGATGTGCAACTTCCTGGCATCATATATGGTTTTTTTTCCCCCAGAGAGTGTCAGTGTTGATGTAAGGGGTCTTTCAATGTCAAGCCATGATGGTGAGCTCTTGGTCTCCCATGGACCAAACATCTGGAGGAAGAAGAAGACAGCACCAACTGGGGTACAGGATTACTGAGATTTTTTTTTTTAATTTTATTTATCGTATTTATATAGCTATTCATTTCACATAAAAGTGAGTCTGAAAGGACCGCTCGGCGACCGAAACAGAATGGACGCTTGGCGACCGTGGTCCAAACTCATTCCTACGCAGTACACCTGTCACTAGGTTGCAGGACTTCAGTGTCCACGTAAAAAACTAGCCGTCCTCCTGAAATGCTGGCTTCTTTGGGTTGATTGTATTGGCTTGTTCAACATAAGGACATAGTAAACATTTATCTGCTACGGCTGCCTACCTCTAGTTGTACCCCCAGATGTATGGCATTCCAAGCTCTATGGTCCACAGTCAACACACCCAGTGGGTTCATTGGCACGTGGTGATGGGACTGGTAGTTCACAGGTTGGAGATGTTGTTCTGTGGGTTAGGTTTTGCCTCGGTAGGGCTTCTAAATCAGTGTTTCTCAACCTTGAGAACTTTAAGCTGTGTGGACTTCAACTCCCAGAATTCCCCAG